AGGAAGGAAGGAAGAAATTAAACAATGGAGATGGAAAAATAATTCTAAATAAGAATAAAAGTAGAGAGAAAGGAAGGAGAGACAGAGGAAGAGCAATTAAGGGAGAAAGTAAGGCAATAAATAAGAAGAGGAAAGAAGGGAGAAAAGAAGGAAAGAAAGAAGAGGAAGGAAGGAACGGAGAAAGGAAGGAGAGAAAGAAGAGAAAAGAAGGACAGAAAGAAGAAGAGGAAGTAAGGGAGAAAGGAAAGAGAGAAAGAAAAAGAAAGAAGGGAGAAAGAAAAGTGAGAAAGAAGAAAAGGAAGGAATAAAGGTAAAAGGAAAGGAAAGAAAGAACAGGTAGGAAAGGAGAAAGGAAGGAGAGAAAGAAGAGGAAGGAAGGAAGGAAGGAAGGAAGTAAGGAAGGAAGGAAGGAAGGAAGGAAGGAAGGAAGGAAGGAAGGAAGGAAGGAGAAAAAGAAGTAGAGGATGGAAGGGAGAAAGGGAGGAAAGAAAGAAGAGGAAGGGAGAAAGGAAGGAAAGAAAGAAAGAAAGAAGAGGAAGGAAGGGAGAAACGAAGGAGAGATAGAAAAAGAGGAAGGAATGGAGAAAGTAAGGAATGAGAAAAAGAAGAAAAGGAAGGAATGAAGTAAAAAAAAGAAAAGACAGGCTAGAAAGAAAGAATAGAATGATAAAATGGAGAAAGGCTGTAGAAAAGGACATAGGCGGAAGTAGAGGAGAAAGGAAGGAAGGACAGGAAGAAGGAAGGAAAGAAGAAAGAGAAGTAAGGAGGGGAGGACTGAACCTTGTAGCCACTTTCACACGTGAGGTTATTGGGCTCACTCAGTAAGACATTGAGCAATGAACAAATGAAATAATCCATATCAATATTTCTTCGATCAAACGTAACTATATTACAATCTGATTGGTTGCAGTGAGGTTCTGTCTGCCCATGCGCTCTGCACTAAATCCCTCGTCCATATGTTTGTTTATAAATAAAAGTTACAACTTCAATCTTTTAGAAATGGCCGTACATACCACTCCAGCCTGCATTGCGCATGGAAAGGGCCAGCAAACAGAGCCGGTAAGAGGGATGACAATATAGTCAGTAGAAGGAAGATATTGGAAAGCATTTTCATCTTCCTGCTTCTTGTACTCCTGAGATCTGGGAAGGAACTGATGGCAGAGTGACACCAGAAGTCACAAGAATCAGTTTCCTTCCACTTAATTGCTTACACGGTCTCCATCATGTGTTTCCATCTGATTCGTGTGTCCAATGTCTAGCTGTGATTCCACAAGTGTGTAAATTCTCAGACAAGGCCGATATTGTTTGTGTGCTTCCTGTAATGACGCTTCAGCCTCACGTCAATGGGATTTCATAGTTCGCTTACTTCTGGCTGGGTATGTTGAAACTGAACCGCGGACTAATATAAAGGGCACAAATGAATGCACCTCTGTAATCCTTAATACAGCAATACATTATTTTTTAATACAAACAGTGTAAATACCTGAATTTGACCTGGTATCACCCTCTTGCAGTGCTTGTACAACAGAGTTGGAGTATGAGAATAAAAAGCAGTACGAGGAGCCGCTCAGTTATTTTGCTAACAATAAGCACACTGCTAGGAGGAGAAAGCAGAGTGACCTAGAGATGAGTTGCTTCTTTTTTTTTACTGCAAAGCCATTCAGCTCGAAGTATATTTATTATTCATGTTTGTTGTTATTATTGTTTGGTGGTTGATTTGCAAAGTTTCTGTAAAACGTGTAACCTTTTTATACCGTATTACATTCATCACTGTCATCACTATTTTGCCTGATGAATGGGATCCTGCGTGGCCCCGAAATGCCGTGTGATGTGATACTGAGCATGCGTCAATAAAGGTGTATTGATCGGCATACTCTAGTGGTAGCAAGCCCTTCCTTTCTGATATTGAGCTGCGCCAATCATTTGCCACTGTAGCACCCACCTATTCCTAAAGGGACTTTCCGGTCAGGAGTACGATGGGGGGCGGGACATATAATCGATGGGGGCGGGACATATACTATCATATAATCACACATGGGGGGTGATTTACTAACCTAAACACACGCACGCACCAGGTGCGTGTGATTTTCACACAGCAAAACGTATTTATCAACCAAAAAGTCTCTAAAAGCATATTTCCACTAATGCCATATATGGAAAAATCATGCACATGATGCATATATAATGCTGCTTCACCGTTTAGACAAAAATGGTTAGCTCATGCATTTACATTCCTGCATTCATCAACGCAAGCAACACAACATAGAGCTAATTTACACAACATCACCTTGCAATTCATTCAGGGCTTTGCACAACACACCTGCTGGGTGTGTACGCACTACAAAGGTGTTTAGATTCCACCCATAGATCATGCTGGGAGGGAACACACTACAGAGGTGTATACTTGTTCGTGGTGTGGACTTATATACACGCACACATCAGCTCATAAATGCATACGCACAATAGGTTGGACTTGATGGACTTATGTCTTTATTCAACCTCAAATACTATGTAACTATGTAACTATGACTCAGACTACTAATGATTACAGAAGGACTCTGAAAACTTTTATTAACCTTTGCAGTGGGGTGGTCAACAACCATGCAGAGGGGGTCCGGGCTTTTCTTTCTGCAAACTGAGTGTTATTAAATGACTATTTGTAACAAAAATACGTTGGAGTAAAAAAAACTTTGATCCGTCTCTCATTTATAATATTCCTTAAAGAGGAACTCAGGGCAAAACTTTTCATTAACCCTTGCAGTGGATTCCAATCCTGGCCTTTTTGGAGAGCAGTGGGAAGAATAAGAACAGATACCACATAATAAGTCAGCTTATGATCACATAAAAGGGTTGTATTCTCCAACAGGGTCATGTAACGTAGACACTCAAATGTTTTACATCGTTTCCATCCTAATAAGAACATGCAGTTCTGCAATATGTCCAGTAGATGTCATCATCTATTCACAAACTATGCCAATATACTGTAAACTCCCCATTATCCGGCATCTACTGGGATTAGTAGATTCCAGTTAAATGTAGTTTCAGGTTGCTTTAAAGGTACTATTATAAATAGGTCTAACTGATGCCATACCCCATACTATCCCATAACATAAACTCTGTATTGACTTCATATAAATAATGAAATAAAGTCATCAAAAGCAAATTAAGACAAGACACACAATCATTTCCAGGATAATACATGCCGCCGATCAGCAAAACAATGAGTACACAGGGGGATTCTTTTTTTCCTGGTTAGATGAGACTTCTGGTTAGTTGAATTCTGGATAACAGAGAGTTTACTGTATTGTGTTTTTTTATTTCTTAGATGAATATAAGAATGGATGGAGATAGATGGATGGATGGATGGATGGATGGATGGATGGATAGATTGATAGATAGATAGATAGATAGATAGATAGATAGATAGATAGATAGATAGATAGATAGATAGATAGATGGAGATAGATAGATAGATAGATAGATAGATAGATAGATAGATAGATAGATAGATAGATAGATGGAGATAGATAGATAGATAGATAGATAGATAGATAGATAGATGGAGATAGATAGATAGATAGATAGATAGATAGATATATAGATAGATAGATAGATAGATAGATAGATAGATAGATAGATAGATAGATAGATAGATAGATAGATAGATAAATGGATGGTAGGTAAATGGATATCCAGATATTGGGAGATTTTGCAGTTCCTGATGTGCCTCTGAGACAGAAAGCCGGGGAAATCTTCCTACATGGACACAGGCAGTAATAATGACTCCCAACAATTGTAACCCTTTCCCATAACTGAAAAGATTTGGACTGGAGTTCTGCTTTAACATATGCTTTGGCATTAAAGGGTTTCTAAACCCTCCGTTGTTTTTGCATCTATCTATTGCTAGCAAGCAGTAGATAGATGCAAAAAGTTTTTTAAAAAAAAATGCTTTAACAGCGGTTTATGATAAGTATAGGTTAGGCAGGTCTATGACACGTTCAGGTTATGATAGATAACAGGCAACAAACACACTATCAGGGTTATTCACAAAAGGGTGAAGAGTTTGGAGAAGGTGGAAAAAGAAAACAATCTAGGCCACAATTACTGATATGGAAAACTTCTCCAATTCCGCTCACTTTCCAGCTCAGCTATGTTGTCCTAGATTGTTCACTTCTCCGGCCTTCACCAGACTCTTCACCCTTCCGTGAATAACCCTGTTAGTGTCCAATGTAAATAGTTGTATTGCTATTGTTGTGTCCCTCAGGAAAGCAATTCTGAAGGGACTGGAAGCCACGCCTCCTGGTAGCACTTAACTCGTTAAGGTTTATTGTTAAAACAAAAGGTTATAATCTATGTGTACAAGGGGGATGGCGGAGCATAAACCAATCACATTCATGCACGAATACAAAACTAATCATGGTAGTAAGTATCATGAGACAACCTTTGGGGGGATTTGCAAAGTAAACAAGCAAAGACAGGAACAGAGATAAGAGATACAATTTGCAATGACTAACATTTTAGGAACATCTCAAACTGGTTTCTGTGGAATATACTAAAAAACACCATTGTGCTTTTTGTAAACATTAACTACGTGTAACCCAGAAACAGGCCAATGAGATGAAACCCCCTCTCAGCTCTATCCCGGTGTTCCTGGTATAAATGTGAGATCGGTTTCCTGCAAGTCTCTAGTGGCAGAGTTTTGTGTTATGATTCACATGTGAAGATAGAACATTATGGGGGTGATTTAATAAAGGCTCGGTGACGATATACAGGCGTTACGGCTCTATCTTGGGGCAGTTCCATGGTTGATACTGACGTGCGACAAATTCACAAAGTGCTTATTTGTGACTCTCATTTAATATGTCACTATGGTAGGGTTGCCACCTGTCCGGGATTCACCCGGACAGTCCAGTTTTTGAGTCCTGTGTCCAGGTTTCAGGCCAGCTGACACCCGGACACAAGACACTAAGTGCTGGCCAGAGGTCCCGTGCTTGCTGGGGACCTCGGCAGCCTTCCTGTGAGCCGCAGGTGCCTGTAAACATCTCTGTCTTCCTGACACCATACTGCCCGCCCCTGGTGAGAGAGCACACAGCCCGCACAGCACTCTTGAAAGCCTGCATAGCCCACCTGAGAGCCCGCATAGCCACCTGAAAAATGCTGCATGCAGCGCTTGTGTTCGGGTTTCACTTGAAGAAAAGGTGGCAGCCCTACACTATGGTGAGCTCATATACAAATATTGCCGTTTCAGAATGAAGACAATTCAAGGTAATTAAGGTTATTAATGCCAATTAATTAGGTAATGAACAACCAATGTAATTTTGGAGAAAAAATGGCTGTGCTGACACCCCCCCCTCCCCCCTCACAGACATCCCAACTCTCCCGGACGCTCCGGGAGTCTCCCGCTATTAGATAGCGGCTCCCGGCCGCCCGTGAGAGAAACACTTCCTCCCGGAAAGGTTTATCTGCTCGATCGAGCAGAGTAAACCTTTCCCTGCCATCGTTTTTTTTTTTCTTTTCTGACATCGGGAGCCGCGGCCCGCCGTCAGTCAGAAAAAAAAAAAGGCGTAGGAATGCATAGCTAGATTCCTATTGGCTATTTCATTTTGCAATAGCCAATAGCAAACTAGCTAATGCACAAGCCCCCTGCTGCTGTCAATCAGCAGAGGGGGACCTGAGGTTTTCTATCAGGTGCTCGTCTGGTAATTGAAAGCAGCAACTGGTTGGTAGGATGCTGCCGACCCACAGTGCCACTGGTTGCTAGGACACTGCCGAACCACAGTGTCACCGGTTGCTAGGACACTGCCGAACCACAGTGTCACTGGTTGCTAGGACACTGCCGACCCACAGTGTCACTGTTCGCTATGAAACTGTCAATTTTGGAACTCTCTGCCACAAGGAGTGCTATCAGCAGAGAGTATTGAATCATTTAAAAATCAATTAGATACCTTCCTCAGAGACCCCAACATATAGGGGTACAGGTACGCTTAAAGGAGAACTATGAGGTGAGTGCTTTTCACTCACCTCATAGTTCTAGCCGGCTACTGTCGGCTCAGTAGATCGGGAGGTGAGCGAACACATACCGGCGCTCGCTCACCTCTCGATCCTGTCACGGCTCTCTGCCGTGACAGGGGAGGGGATGGATTACCCCCTCCCCGCCAGCGCTGACGGGCGGAACGGATGGGGGAGGGGGCGAGTACAGCTGGCTCTGCCTCTAGATAGGCAGAGCCAGCTGTCACTCACGCAGCTGGGCGGATCTCGACATCGATGACGGGATCCGTCCCGGCTGTGGCGGTCTCAGTATATTTACTGAGCTTAGGGTGACGGGAGGACGCTAGTTTGTGACCTCCCGTTACCCTAAGGAGAACTATGGGGAAAAGCCCTGACCCCATAGTTCTCCTTTAAAACCACAGGGACTCACATACACACACGCACGCACTACACACATTTATCGGGGATTTATCAAAACTGGAGCAGACAGAAACTGAAGCAGTTGCCCATGGCAACCAATCAGCTTCTCTGTTTCATTTTCTAATCTTAACCGAACAAACTGAAGACAAAACCTGATTTTATCTCCTACATAAGTTTCTTTACTGTGTTTGTCGCACGTGCGGCACTCATTGAAATCAATGGGGACACACGCCAAACGCAGGAAACAAATGCCTGTGAATGTGTGGCAACGAGCGTCACTTCTACGTGCAATGTCGTTTAGCGCATGGTTTTCGTTTTAGCATTTGGCGAAAAAATTGCATTTTTGCATTTGGCGAAAAAGAGCGTTTTTCCCCATTTCACGGGCACACGCCATTTTAAGGCTTGACATATCTGGTGTCTATTTCCTCGGCTCACTTCTCTCTTCTACAGCGTACCACAAAGTCGGGTCATACGCTGCGTCTGCGTTCATTAGATACAGTTTACAGTCATTTTTTAAATCTGAAAATATCGATTTGACAAACATTTGCGCAAATGTCGCGCAACATAAAAAAGCTGCGTCTGCCGCCATTTTATTCTCCAGGTCCTCCGCTTTCAGAAAACATATCGTTATTCGGGGGTCAGAAGTCATTTTCTGGGCAGCTTATAACACATGTGCGGAACAGATCAAAAAACACTCCGGACGTGAAGTGGTTAAAAAACATCCGAAAACCACAAATTCCCCCCTCCCCCTCCCCCCCTCCCTATTGACTTCAATGCATTTGGTCAAAATCTTTCTGAAATTTCGGGAGGTGGGGGGGGGGCTTGGTAGAAATCTCTCAATGGTGCTCATCTGGAATCACGAGGAGTCTCTAACTCCTCGTCAGCAGTAGCTTCAACACCGAGGAGCTGCGGAGGTTACGGGTAACAAGGGGTTAAATCGCTCAGCAGTTTGGGGATTAGGATGTCGGCGTTGTGGGGAGTGCGACGAATCGGCGGCGTTGCGTCCCTTTCCGCCGCCGCCGGGGAACGCTGCCAGCGACCTTGTTCTGACGCTGGACCTTGTAAAGAAAGGGCAGGCGACCTCGACACTCCAGCTGTGCTGAGACCACGCATCCCATCATGCACCTGCCTCCAGGAGCCATGCCTGGGGCTGTCAGAGTCTTGCAAGGCCTCATGGGACTTGTAGTTCTGAAACAGCTGGAGGGTTCTGCTCCTGTTGTAGTTGAGTCGCCCTGTGTCTGGGGGGGGGAGGGGTACGCGAGTACTTAAAGGGCGTGTCCTCTTGGGGGAGGCCGGCTCACACACACACAGGACTCATATCTGCCGGCTCAGAACACAACAGAGTCACGTTGGCTGTCAGAGAACTTCGGTGAGTGCAGCGGTTTGTTCTCCGATCGGCGTTCCTCGTCGGCGGATCGTCCCGAACGGGATCCTGATAAAAGATTCGGGAATTCTTTGTATCGTTTTCCTCCGAGCCGTTTATTACGGGGAATCGCTTTAACCGTTCGGCGTCCGGTCCAGGCTAAAGTTGCGTCCGGGAAACACGACCGGCCGCGGTGACGTGATCTGCTGTAGTCGTTTCTGATTAGCGATGTGCGTGTCCTGCCGTACGCTCTACAATCTGATTGTACAATCTTCTCCAGATCTACCGACAACTGCGTAGTACAGGAGCATGCCCGATTGCTGCGCAACTCACCCCCCCGCCCCACACACGCTACAATCTGATTGTACAATCTTCTCCAGATCTACCGACGACTGTAGGAGCATGCCCGATTGTATGGAAATGGAAGGTCACCCCCCACGTGTTACAATATGATTGTACAATCTTCCTAAGGCTGTTTGCGTGGGATGAGCAGACCAGACGGATGGAATGTGGATCGGGCAGATCGGGCCCACAGATAAGAACGGTAAGGGTCGGGTGTCTTTAAAGCTTGCCCCACACGTTACAATCTGATTGTACAATCTCCTACAGATCCACCAATCAGTATGTGGTGTGATTGGATATAGATTGGTTGGTGTCGGTAGAGCTTTATAGTACATGGCCTCTAAAGGCGATTGTACAATCAGATTGTACGGTGTGCGTGGCCAGATTAGAAGTCCTTCTAAGAAGATTTCTTTCTTTTAATAAATCTACTGTTTTGATTGTATGTAGATTGTACTGTGTATGTCCTATTATGATCAATTCAAAATTGTACAATCAGATTGTATAGTTTATGATCAGCCATACAATCTGATTGTACAATCTCCTTTAGATTTGCCATCAGCTATGTAGTGCAAAGGGCCATCCTGATTGGATATAGATTGATTGGATGGTTCAGACTCGTCCTCGTATTACATTGCTTTGGTAGATCTAAGGCTCACCATACACGTTACAATCTTTGTACAATCGTCTTTAGATCCACCGAAAGGATGTAATAGGAGAATCTACCTGAACTATTCAATCAATCGGCATCCAATCAGGAAGACGCTTGTACAACATACCTGTTGGCAGATCTAAAGGAGATTGTACAATCAGATTGTAACGTGTGTGGTGAGCTTACAGGAGATTGTACAATCGGATTGTACAGTGTATGGCCTTTAGACTTCTTCTGCTGGGAGCCGGCCTGAGTCTGATGGTCACCAAGCAGCCGATAACGTGTTTGTAACGTTCATACAGAAACCGATTTGTTCTCCAAACTATACGATTGGAATGACGGGAACAAATATGTCCGTCCCAATGAAAACCATTGCAGATCGGGCCGCCCGCGGGGAGGGAAGTCTTTACAGCTCACCCCACACACATTGTGCAATCAGATTGTATGGTGTATGGCCATCTTAGAAGTCCTTCTTCTTTCTTCTGGCAGATTGTATGCAGATTGCGCGGTCAGATTGTCATGTGTATGGCGGGACTTATTATTACACGGATTTCATCAATGGGAAAGGGGGATCCACCAAAGATTGTACAATCTGATTGTAAGGCTGACCATACATTGTACAATCTGATTGTAAGGCTGACCATACATTGTACAATCTGATTGTAAGGCTGACCATACATTGTACAACCTGATTGTTAGGCTGACCATACATTGTACAATCTGATTGGCATTTGTCTTCCGAGCACCCACTAACCCGCCGAAAATCGTACGATTCTCGAGTGTGCTCGGAAGACAAAAGACGTGCAACCGTACAGTAGAAATGGTTGCACGCCTTTCATACACGTGCCAATTATCGTACGATCGCGGGATCACCCGCGATTATCGTACGATAATTGGCAGGTGTATGGGCACATTAAAGGAGAACTATGAGGCGAGTGCTTTTCACTCACCTCATAGCTCTAGCCGACCTGTGACAATGAGACTGTCACAGGTCGGCTCAGTAGATCGGGAGGTGAGCGAACACATACCGGCGTTCGCTCTACTCCCCATCCTGTCACGGCTCTCTGGCGTGACAGGGGAGGGGCTGGATTCCCCTCTCCCCGCTCCGACTCTCAGACGGGCTGTGCGACTCTCAGACGGGCTGTGCGACTCTCAGACGGGCTGTCTGGGCTATGGTGTCTCACCAGGCAGGCAGCACATGGTCAGGGAGCTGGAGGAGGAGAAGGCAATGACAGATGCGGATGCCGGGGTCCCCAGCAAGCGCGATTTTGGGTGCCTGTGTAAACCTCGGGGACCTCGGCGTCCGCATGTGTCAGAGAATGTCCAGTCTTGGAGTCTTGTGTCCGGGTGTCCAGCCAGCAGGCACCCGGACACAAGACACAGATACATTTTCTGACAGATGCGGACGCCGAGGTCACCTGACCTTAGAGGCGCAGAGCCCCCCCTGAAAACTGGACGGGTGGCAACCCCAGCTAACAGACGAAATGTGTGTAGCAGCAACGTGAATACACTACCCATAATGCAATGCTCTGCATCTGACCTGCTGATTGGCCAGGCCCACGATGCAAGGAGGGGGAAGCATGTGCCCAGCACAGGAGGCTGTATGGCAGGGATAGGCAACCTCTGCACTCCAAAATGCCTCCACCTGTGGGAGCCATGCCTGTGACTGTCAGAGTCTAGCAATGCCTCATGGGACTTGTAGTTCCACAAAAGCTGGAGGGCCGAGGTTGCCCACCCTCGGTGTATGGTTGCGTGATATTACCGCAACTGTTTCTCAAACCCAAATTGTCAATAGAACATACTCCAATTCATTTCAGTACCATATGGTACCTGTGGGGTTTTTTGTTTGTTTTGTTTT